TACGAGTGCCAGTTAGCACCCATCATAACTCACATATGTAACTTGGCTTTCAACACAGGAGTATTTCCGGATTCTTTTAAAACAGCTATCATCAAACCCATTCACAAAGGTGGTGAAAAAAATCGCGTTCATAACTTCAGACCTATCTCTATCCTGCCCGTAATGTCTAAAATTCTAGAACGTCTAATTAATAACAGACTGACAACGTACCTTGAAAATAATGAACTCCTTTCACCGTCACAATTTGGTTTTCGTCGAGGAAAGTCCACAAGCAGTGCTGTACAAGACCTAGTAAACTCTGCAGTTTCTTCATTAGATGACAGAGAGAAATGTCTGGCTATTTTTATTGATATGGCCAAAGCATTTGATACTGTCTCCATCCCACATCTATTATCTAAACTAGAAATACTTGGCAGTCGTGGTTTACCTTTAAAACTGCTAACAAACTATCTTAGTAATAGAAAACACAGAGTCAAGGTCGAAAACCATGTTAGTGATGAGAGTGAGGTTAAGTTTGGCGTGCTTCAAGGCAGCATCCTCGGTCCTACCCTATTTTTAATTTACATGAATGGCCTCTGCCAGCTTAACTTACAGCAGGGCAAAATCTTCACCTTTGCTGACGATACCGCGCTTTTCTTCAGTGGAGACAACTGGAATGAGGTATTTCGTCTAGCTCAGATTGGCTTTCAAACCTTATCCAAATGGCTTAATCACAATATCTTAACGCTAAATGTATCTAAAACTAAATTTATGACTTTTGCCAGGAGATCAAATCAACTTCCACCTCCTTCGCTGGCTTTATACGCTCATGTACCAAACTGTAACTGCAATATCTCCCAGATCATTTGTCCTAATCTTCAAAGGACTGACCACTTCAAATACCTTGTTGTCGTCATCGATCAAAAATTAAATTTTAGCAGGCACGTCGAATCCCTGGTATCAAAATTACGTAAATTTATTTTTGTCTTCAAGAATCTCAAGCACATCGCTGATCGCAGCGTCCTTAGGATGGTATTCTATGCCTTTTGTCATTCTTTGGTTGTGTATTGTATACCCTCGTGGGGAGGTGCTGCCAAAACATACCTCATTGAGGTCGAGAGAGCTCATCGTGCTATCTTGAAAGTAGGTGCAGGACTCCCCTTTCGCTTTCCCACAGCTGACTTATATAAGGATTGGGATGTATTATCCGTTAGACAAACTTTCATCCTGTACACTATTCTTACAAAGCATTCTGAGATAGAATACGATCATAAACTTGTAGATGGAAGGCGTAGAAAGGATTCCGTATGCTGTCCTAAAATAGCTAGTCTTAAAATGCAACGCTCCATCATACTGCAATACTTTTTCATTTTAATTCAAGACTTAACAACTGAATTAATGTCTGGCAAATTCATTTTTAGTTTTTCTTATATTTAAAGAACATAATATTAAAATTACAGACATTCTAAAATACTTTGAAATTTTTATAAAAAAAAAACTTAAAATCGCGTCTGGCACATAGTTAGCAATGTGAAAAATGTCTGGCAATAAAAAAAGTATGTCAGGTAGACTTATTTAAAAAGGAAAAATTAAAAATTACGCTTCTTAAAATGCAACGCTTCATCATACTGCAATACTTTTTCATTTTAATTCAAGACTTAACAACCGAATTAATGTCTGGCAAATTCATTTTTAGTTTTTCTTATATTTAAAGAACATAATATTAAAATTACAGACATTCTAAAATACTTTGAAATTTTTATAAAAAAAAAACTTAAAAACGCGTCTGGCACATAGTTAGCAATGTGAAAAATGTCTGGCAATAAAAAAAGTATGTCAGGTAGACTTATTTAAAAAGGAAAAATTAAAAATTACGCTTCTTAAAATGCAACGCTTCATCATACTGCAATACTTTTTCATTTTAATTCAAGACTTAACAACTGAATTAATGTCTGGCGAATTCATTTTTAGTTTTTCTTATATTTAAAGAACATAATATTAAAATTACAGACATTCTAAAATACTTTGAAATTTTTATAAAAAAAAACTTAAAATCGCGTCTGGCACTTAGTTAGCAATGTGAAAAATGTCTGGCAATAAAAAAAGTATGTCAGGTAGACTTATTTAAAAAGGAAAAATTAAAAAATGCGCTTCTTAAAATGCAACGCTTCATCATACTGCAATACTTTTTCATTTTAATTCAAGACTTAACAACCGAATTAATGTCTGGCAAATTCATTTTTAGTTTTTCTTATATTTAAAGAACATAATATTAAAATTACAGACATTCTAAAATACTTTGAAATTTTTATAAAAAAAAAACTTAAAATCGCGTCTGGCACATAGTTAGCAATGTGAAAAATGTCTGGCAATAAAAAAAGTATGTCAGGTAGACTTATTTAAAAAGGAAAAATTAAAAATTACGCTTCTTAAAATGCTTTTAAAATCTAGGATATTACCTGGACAGATAGGATGCGCACTAAAGAACGCAACCGCTACCGCCAGCCAGATTGCCAAGACTCTAACCGAAAGTGCAAGAAGGAAGACATATCACAAAATCAGCTGACCTAAAATTCTTCCTCGAAAACGTTGCTACCTCCCGTACTATTATAAGTTGACAATAATATATAAGCAACATAACAATATTAAAAAGCCAAAATACTCTTTTGAAGGGGCTGTGACAGTTTACTTTGATATTAATTACATGTTAATTATTATCTCGACGGCTAAAGTAGTCGTTTTTTTGTTTGAATTCTATAAAACTACCTCAAAGTAGTAATTGTTTATTATTATTTTTGTTTTATGTGACTGCATTTTAAAATGGCGTCGTCTTTGTCGTGGAATAATGAAAAGATTATTAACTTTATTGATGCAGTTCGCTTGCATCCTTGTTTGTGGGATAACAAAAGTCCTGATTTTAAGGATCGTTTGCTAAAAAAAGATGAATGGACTGCTATTGGGCTGCAGTTTGAAATATCTCAGAGATCGAATATACAGAAGCAATTCAACAAGCAATAGATGGTGTATTGATGGTTAGAACAGTTCGTAATTCAGACGGAAATACTACTGCCGTGGAGTACATTACTACTGATTGATTTATTAGAATTAAAAATCTACTTAATTGTGATTTTAAATAAATAAAAAGTTTGATTAATATGACGACGCATTCCTAGCGCCATCTGTTAAGAAATACGTTGGAACGAGATTTGAAAATTGTCAGTCTGGCGGAGCGTCGCGTCGTGTCGATGGTCAGCGCGGCCATGTTGAATTTCGTGTAGTTTTCGAACGAACGGCGAGCGCACCACGTTTGCGACGAATCGCTTTTGTTCCGAGTAATCTTGTGCCTTGTTGTTTCAAAACTAATTAAAAGTGATTGATTAAGTGATTCCCTAATTTCTAGTGAATAGATTTTAGTGAATTGCTGTAAGGGAGATACTTTTTGTGATTCTTTTGTTCCTACCCACATTACAACTTATTGAAGACATGGCTGATTCTTATGATAAAAGGGCATCCACCCATATCAGAAGTGGGATCCCACGCGCACCGACCGAGGAAAAACAACCACCTGACGAAAATAGCCCCTTGAAGTTGTTAAGTAAGATGGAAATTTTACTTACTCGGATGTTAGCGACTTCGCAACCACCGGTGGCAACTGCTAACGCCCAGTCTAGTACAGTGAAACTCGTAGAGTTTAATCCGGAAGACGCAGACGCGGATATAGAAGGTTGGTGTAAGATTACAGAGCTTATAGTACTGACTTCACATTTTCACTTCACATTCGCAGCCTCTTGCTTGAGCAAGTTAAATTTGAATGAGCTGACATGGGAGATTGTAAAACAAAGTTTAATGGCCAGATTTTATAAATCAAAATTATTTCAAGACTACTAAGATGAAATATTGCGTTTTCAATTTGGAACAAAAGAAACTGCAGCAGAAGCTGGCCTGCGCTTATGGAATATGATCGAATCTATATCTATAACCCGAATGCCAAAAGGTGTTATAACTGGATTAGTCATATAGGTCTTTTGTCGGAAGGATGGTTTGATACGCCGTGAGCTAAATGCATGTACTGTCACTACTAAACCTCAGCTGTTTAGAATCTTAAGAGGCATTTCCCTAAAGCGAAGATCGGAGGTTACTGAAATCCAAGAGCCTGATTTCAAGCGACCTAGAATTGCGGACGCAAGATTTTCTGATTCTTCTAGGATGACTAAGCAGCAAGATCCGTCAACTGCAACACGTGCCCCCGAGAAAACTTCTACCGTAACCTGCTACATATGCAGTCAGGCTGGACACGTGGCAACAAATTGTAAAGAAAAGGTAAAACGCAGTGTATCTACTGCAAGGAAAGAGGTCAATGTCTGCGAGCAACGGCTGTCGAGGGGCACATTGAGGATGTCATCCGGTGAGTCAGTCTCCTTTTTGTTTGATAGCGGATCGTCTTGCTCGTTGATCTTTACCAGTTCTAATTGGAAATAGTAAAACAAATTTACTAAAAAAACAGGTTATAACTAAAAGCATAGTGTTACCACTTTTGCTTCTTGGAAAAGGTCCCATTAAATCTAATGATATAATTTGCCACGGACTATTAACATGCCTTTGATGACCCATGTGACCAAAAGGCAAACGTTGAGAAACTTTAAATTTTGCAAAAATTTCACATTGACCGACGTGGCGTTTCACATCACCTAAAATATTTGGCCAATAATAATACTGTTTTACTCTAAAAACCGTTTTCCGAATGCCTAAATGACCCGCCTTTACATCATTATGACAGCGCTTCAAAATAGTAGATCTAAGAATCTCCGGAATATATAACATCCAATCATTAGACTTATCAGGATATTGTTTCACACAAATCTTTTTATACAACAAGCCATCCCTAACTCGCCAATTAATATCACTATCACTATTTAAGACACTTTTAACTTTATACCATGTATTTTTATGTTCTTCTCGTATTTCCACACCATCAGCTTGAATTTCAATCGCGTTAATTGATCGCGATAAAGCATCAGGTACTACATTCGAACTATATCGAAGCTGAATGCTTGTAATTTCATAGCCGACCTTGCCAGTTTACCATGGGGATCTTTCATTTTATGAATCATTTTAAGTGCACTATGATCCGTCACTACAGTAAAATGAGATCCATCTACATATGGACGAAATTTTTCTACAGCATAAACAATACTTAATAATTCCCTTTCAGATGTCGAATACAACTGTTCTCGGTCATTAAGTTTTCTACTTAGATATGCAATTGGTTTTTCTAAACCGTCAATCTTTTGGCTTAAAACAGCACCTATACCTTTATTTGATGCGTCGCATTGTATTATAAATGGCTCTTTAAAATCCGGACACGATATAACAGGTGTTGATGTTAGGAAAGTTTTTAAAGCAACAAATGCTTTTTCCGCTTCATCTGTCCATATAAATTTCTTTTGTTTCCCTTTTGTTAGACTATGAAGAGGAGCCGCTATAACAGAAAAGTTTTTAACAAATCTTTTATACCAACTAGCAATACCAATAAATCTTTTCAACTCTTTAAAGGTTTTAGGACGTTCAAAATTCAAAATCGCTGATACTTTTTCGGGATCAGTACGTAACCCTTCTTTATCTACAATGTAACCTAGAAAACGCATGCTGGACCTAGCAAATTGACACTTATCTATATTAATCGTTAGACCTGCACCTTTTAAAATATGTGCAACCTTATCCAAAATAATTAAATGTTCATCAAACGTCTCCGAAGAAATCACAATATCATCCTGATAAGCCCAAACTTTACCATCGTTGTACTTGTTCTCATCACTTAGGGGACTTAGCTTCTGCGGTGTTATTATGGCTTCGCACTGGACAAAGCCGTGGTTGGTCGGTCCAGAATTCAGGGATCCTCGATGTTAATGACACAACAGCTATTTCGGCTCCACCGCTCATACCGGCCTCTGCTGCTGGCGATGGTGGCTGTGCTGGATTCATATTTCAACTTCGCTGCAATACTGTACCAAAGTTGTTATCGGGGACACCAATGTACCTTATTTGGTATTGGTATGCCCTTATAAGGTACTGAGTATTGTAATGAAACGAGGCTCTTTAGGACACGACTATTTAATATGAGTGTTGGTACAATAAATAAAATAAAAAATAAAAATAGCCTTTATTCGAGTACCTACACTATACTACAGTAAGTCCATATCTTTTAAGTTTGTACTCGACCTCCGATGGAGTGAAGGCCTCCTCCAGATTCTTCAACTTATCCCTATTTGTTGCGACAGTTTTCCAGTTTTTTCCCGCTATCCCTTTTATTTCATCCTCCCAAGTTTTCGGTGGGCATCCTCTATTCTTCTTCCCACTGTACCCTTCCAAGTAAGGGTCTTTTTGACCCATCTGCCATCACAAATGCGGCCAATGTGACCGGCCCATTTCCATTATAGCCTTTTTGTATAAGTTACAACAGCTTTTATTTTTGTACGACTTCTTATCACATTGTTTTTTATTTTGTCTTTAAGTTTCAATTAAATAATGGAGCGATCCATAGCCCTTTGGCATACTCCAATCTTTTTTATTAACGCCTTGTCAAAAATCCAGGTTTGGCATCTGTATGACCAACATGGAAGTATGCATTTGTCCATGACTGTTCTTTTTATAGTTAAGTTATGGTTGGATTTCAGTACTTCTTTTATAGCCCAAAATTTGTTCCAAAGTTGTGTCGCTAAGTTTACTTTTTTTTTACTTTTTTTGACTAAACAATATTTGTTTTCCTAGGTATATGTAGTTTTGGACATTTTAAGAGACGTGGCGTTGACATAAACTTATAGATCTTTGCTGTTAGTCATAATAGTAGAGTGCCTGGAGCATTCAAAACCGTAAAACCTCGGACTAGTTACAGTGAATTAATTAATATGATCGATGTGGGATATCGTTTTTTACACAATAACTTGCAGTTTCCCAAAATTTTTTTGTGCACTCCATTGTTTCATTGTTTAAAAAAATTATTATTAAAAATTAATGTATATTTTCACTTTAAACAGTATTTTTTTTTATTTATATGTTATCTTACCTGAGTAGACATATAGGAACATTTTTCAAAGATACCGGTGTATAAAAATAGCAGTAGGGATCTCGAACAGGTAGAAAAGCGTGGAGGGGAGAGCGGAGCGACAGCTGCTATGTACAATGGATTATGGAATTTCTCGGCCAGTTTAGTTGCAAGTAACACGTGTTCTGTAAATATTGTGCTTCTATAACAGTGAAAATTTGGTTTTTTTGTGAAAAATTCTTGTATATTTTTGTACAGTAAGAGGGCTATTCGTGCAACCTATAATTTAAAATGTAGGGAATGTTTTAGAGATAAATTCAAGGAAATTAATTAACTTACCTTTCCCTCGCAATATATTAATGAAAATATTATGTATGTATACAAAAATAGTGATAATTTTACTGGAATAGAACATACGCACAATGTTAATACACGGAACAAACGCAGGCTGCAATTTCCCCGTACTAGACTATCTAAAGTTAGTAATGCTTTTTTGGGAAAAGGGATACTCTCCTTAAATAAAATCCCAGAGGCTCTTTTATCTCTGCCTTTTAATAAATTTAAGAAATGTATTAAAGAAAAGCTGTGTAAAAAGGCTTACTATAAAGTTAACGATTATCTAGTTAAGTGTTGTTTGATGATTTGCTATTTTAAAAGAGTACCGAGAGTTTTTCACGCCGGCTTTTTCTCTCGGCCTACACCCTCTGTCTTCTTTGCCGATGAGTAGGGATGCCTACAAATTCAAATTTAATGACATGGAATAAGTGATACATGTGTTAGCTTTTTTATTTATATCCTGATCAATTTTAGTTAAAGAAATATAATCATGCTATGGCACAGTTGTTCAGTTTACTTATTCTGTGGTTTTACGGAACGGACGTCAAAACCAACCCGGAGTGGATCGTGTCGAAGTGGGGAAAAGGATATAAATCAAGCTGCGCACGAGGGAGCGACGGCTAAAATTTAAAAGTGAAAAAGTGAGAAGTATAAACGGAATCAAATAGCTACTATTTCCCAAGATCAAGTTTACAGATCAGAAGTTAGGGATAGCTCCAGGGGAAACTGATAAGGTATATATCATATCCCTGGCGTAAAGGGTTAAGCGCTCACAAGGTATGAGATTTAATTTAAATTTTGCTATTGTAAGAAGGCTGAATAAGTTTTTTTTTTCCATTATAATTTAACGTCAATGCAGTAATTCGATACACTGTTTGTGTTGGTTAAAGTAGTTTCTTTTTATTAGTGACAATCAAAATTGGTTGATTTTAATCTAAGCAGTTTTGTTTTCCTTTCTCGTATCTAAATATTTTTGAAGGTATTATTTTTTTTTTTATGTACCTACAAATTTGTTTTCTATCTTTATTAAAACCGTTAAATGTTTACTGCTATATTTCCTGTATAGTATTTTCTTATGCTCATACATACACATCTGTTATTATGTGTATCCATGCGAATTCATATAAAATTTAGACGGGTGGCTAGTATAATAATATAAAGGGTTCGGTTCAAAGATGCTTTGTTTCTCAAAGAATTACATTCACTTAGCGAGAAAATTTAGAGTAAGTTAGTTATGTACATCGTGTTATGAAATAATTTGAAAATAAACTATATAAAATAAAAATACTAGTTTTCTAACAATATACACAATATCTTTTTAACAAAAGTGCAGGGTCGCATCGATGTTACAACAGGCATAATGTGACTAATAATTTCTTAGACGCTCGTTCAGACATAATTAAAAATGCTAGAAGGGCCTTTTAATGTCTTGTAAATACATAATATTAAGTTTACCGTAATTAGTCCTTGGTTGTATTAAACATAATTAATCAATATTTCTTAATGAATATTTTGTATCTGATTTTTGTGTAAAGGATAGATTTAATTTTTTTATTTAATATAAAAGAATACTTATAAATTTAGAAAATGTATCCTGTTTAAAAAAAATTCCAAATCTAAATTATAACTGGCTGTCCCCATGCCATGCCCCACCCGCCTTACCCACGCCGCACCCAGGAAACCACGCCTTGGTCTTCCCCTTTTGGTTGCAGTTGCTTTCGAATTTCTATTATGTGCTTCGGGTAGTCTTCTTTTACATAGATCCCAGATGGAAGGCTTGATTTATTTTTAAGTATCAAATGTTTTTTTCCAAATTGTCGTCAAGGAAACGACAACTGGCCGATTCTTGTTAGTTTGTGCTCCAATTCTGTAAACATTGCTTATTTCTTGGCTGTCTAGATGTAAACCTGTATCTGTTATAATTTGTTTGATATAGTCTACCAGTTCAGATTCCCTTTTTCCCTTTTCTTCAACTCCAAAAAATACCAAATTCTTTTTTCTTTTATCTATTTCCATTTGATCTAGTTTTTGTTCAAGTTTTGTAATCTGAGTTTTTAATTTTTTGTTTTCTTGAATAATTGAGTCCATCTTATCATTTATCGCTTCCATAACGTTTGTGGTTACTGCTGACGTTATAGTTAGAGTTTGTTGGTTTAATTTTTCCTCTAATTTTTCCCAAAGCTCTACGTTGGTACAAAACTAAACTATATTAAAACATTGGTGCATTTATATTAATCATCTAGGCACAAGTTTTCGGTAGATGAAACTTGGTGGCGCTTTACGGCATGAGTCGACGCCCGACGTCACATAGTTCTAGGTAAACGCTATGTTAATATTACGTACGGGGTTGTAAAGAGACAATTTAATGTTGTATAGCTTTTATCAAAACACATTTTAATTTTTTTTTTTCAATACATAAAAATTTGTTTTAAGGAATTATATTTAAGTTTGTTAAGGAATAGCTTTTGAAACCCTTTTGCCTTCGCCCACTACCTAACTCGGGCAGAGATTAATTTCCTTCATTTGAAAGGAAAAACGAATGATGAAATCAAATCCGAACTGGATTCCGTTTATGGTAACCATTCGCCTGTTTGAACGAAATCCGGCAGATTTTTTGCGCCGAATAGTGACCATTGATGAAACATGGATCAACCACTACACACCAGAATCGAAGGAATCAGTCCAACAATAGGTAGGACCGGGCGGAAGTGCACCAAAGCGACCAAAGACTCAACAATCAGCTGGGTTATAGCTTCTGTTCTTTGGGATTCAAGTGGCATATTGAATATCAACTATTTGAAAAAAGGAAAAAACAATTAACAGCGACTATTACTGTGCATTATTGGACCGATTGAAGAACGAAATCGCAAAAAAACGGCCCCATTTATCGAAGAAAAATTCATGTTTTTGCAAGAGAATGCACCAGCTCACAAATCAATTGAAACCATGGCCAAAATGCACGACCTACGCTCCGAATTGCTCCGTATTACCCAGATTTAGCCCCAAGCGACTATTACGTATTTCAATTTCAAAGCCTTTATTTCAACTAGTACAAGAGAAAGTTTACAAAAATATATATGCATAATGTATATACAAAATAAAAAAGTTCTTTAAGAAGGTTTTGTTGCAAATCTGTCCTCTTGTACAGCTTGCCATTGTGGCACAAAGGCCTCCTCCAGCTGTTTCCAGTGCTTCCTATCCCTGGCGAGTGTTTGCCACAGTTATTGTTGAAATATTGTAGGTTGGGTTTTAGCTAGTTCGATTGTT